ATTTTGATTAAAGTATTTTGATTAAAATATTCTGATTAAAATATTTTTAGCCAGCTTTCTTCCAGAGAGGACTGGGCTTTATATGGTGAGAACAGTGTCACAGAGGATAGTCCTGTGGAAACTGGAAAAATGAATGTGAGAGATCTGCTGGCTGTTTTTATTGTGCCTTGAACATGCTGAAAGTCTGATCAATGTGAGTCAATGGGGAAAGGCAGGATCTTTCGCCATGTTGATTTGGTATGTTCCTTCCAGTAGATTATAAACACCCAAAGGCTGATCAACCCTTCAAATGCCCATTTCCTTCACTGCCTTGAAATCCAGACAGGCTGGGAAGCTGCTGCTTTAACATGTCTTCAGGGGAATGGTTGAACTCTGCATTCTGAAGGACCTGGTTGCTGTCAACCAGGTCAGCAAAGGATCCAAGGAAGGAAGCAAAAGGAGAAGGGCAATATGCTGTTTCCTCTGGTGACATTTAGCTGTACGAGCTCCTCTGCAATACTACCCGAGCAGCAGAGTCAACCTCCATGTGCTGGTTTTGGCTGGGATAGAGTTAATTTTCTCTGTTTGTATGTGCCTATGCTTTGAATTTATGCTGGAAACATGGTTGATAACAGGCATGTTTTACTGCTGAGCAGTGCTTACACAGAATCGAGGCATTTTCTCCTTCTCAGGATAACCTGCCCRTGAGGGGACTGGGAGTGCAAAAGGAGCTGGGTGGGGATACAGCCAGGACACCTGCCTTCAACTGACCCCAGGGATATCCCACACCTTGTGATTTCATGCTCAGCATAAAAGACTGGGAAAAGAAGAAGGAAGGATGGGATGCTCAGAGTGATGGCATTTGTCTTCCCAAGTCACCATTATTCGTTGATGGAGCTCTGCTTTCCTGGAGATGGCTGAACATTTGCCTGCCCACGGGAAGAGGTGAATGAATTCCTTGKTTTGCTTTGCTTGTGCGCACAGCTTTTACTTTACCTATTAAACTGTCTTTAGCTCAACCCATGTGTTTTCTCACTTTTCTGATTCTCCCTCCAGTCCCACCAGGGCTGAGGTCCCACCACTGAGCAAGCAGCTGTTGGTGCTCACTTGCTGACTGTGGTTAAACCATGACACGCCATCACAGAGAGAAATGCAGTGTGACAGGGATGGCCAGACGTGACTTCCTGTGTATACAAATACCAGAATCTGGATCTGCTTTCAGTTAACAAGCAAAGGAAAACTTAGGGCATAACCTTAAAGATCTTTGTTTCCTGGACACTTATAGACATTTCCAGACACTGAACTGGGCTTTTGCAAACTGATTCTTTAGGGCTAATCTTGAATTTCTGTCTCTTATGGATGTGTTCTTAATTTTGTGTTTTCCAGGGTAGGACTTTGCTCTTAGTCTAGCTTGTCTCTTGGTTTTGTACTACAGCCTYTTCAGAATCCTAATTTGTGACTTGTAATCTATTTTGAAGGCAGTTTGGGGCAATTCTTCACTTGGTTTTGCTCTGGAAGCCCAAAAGCCAGACCAATAGAGGGCTAACCAGGCATTTTCARGAGATGGCTTTGTGTGCTCCTGACTGCCTTCAGGTGACATTTCCCTCACAGGCATGGCAAATGAACRGTGTGTCTACTTGCCTCCCTGGTGACCCCAGCTTTTAGCAGTCCCTCACTCACGATATGGGCTTTTTCCCATGCTTGGTTCCCATAGCTGTGAATTTAAAGGTTGAGATCTGCAGCATCTAAGCCTTGCCGCTCTCTCGGAAGGCCTGTCTACTAAATAGTGTCAGTCAAAGGGTGCGTTGCAGATACTTTGAACTTGGAGACAGATTGCAGGAGACAGCTGTTCATATCTATGTAGATGTTTTATGTGCTTTTTAACAAGGCAGCTGAATCCTCTACAAATAAACAGATCTCTTTTTTTAGCAGTGCTTTAACCCTTATCCTGCAGGAGGAATTTATTTTAAAAGCCTGACTTTTTTTTGCTCATGTTGATTTTTGTAACTCTAATGGCTAGGGCAACTCTTCCCAAAATCTGCCAGACAACCATAGTTTGACTATGAGGAGCTACAATTCCAAATTGCCAGTTTTCCTGAAGATTATGCTGCAAGCCCYGCTAGTTCTTTGTTTTAAAGTTATCTTGCAGAATACAAATCATACAAATAATCAGGATTAAAATATTGAGCCTTTATTCAGAGCATTTATTTTGCCATGAAAGAAGAAACTAAGTCGGCAGGTAAAGTCACCCCCACAACAGTGAGGAATGAACGGAAAACAGCTGCATTTGGCAACACAATGGATCATGTTCCAGTTAGGTTTTCGAGTACTTTACAGAAGCCATTCACTCTTCAATGAATTCAACATTCAAAAAGAGATCTGTCAACCTTCAAGAACTTTCACAGAAACCTGTATGGTAGCAGAGAATATGCTGGAAACCCTTGCCATTCTTAGTTTTACAGAAAGCTTGTGTCAAGTGAGGGCAAATAAAGGTTTCTTGTGACAGCAGTCTCAATTTTCTTTATTGAGAGTTCAGCTCCAAGCTGAGCTGTAGGTGAATCACAGGGCAAAAATATTAATTTCCCCAATCAGCCTTTCCAGTGGCAATTTTTCTCTTTAGAAGGATATTCTACAAATACTAATTAAATTGAAGAACACCAATACTGTCAGAATTAAGCAAATAAGATCAGACTAGATGCTGATTAAATTAGTATAGAAACCTTAGGAGTCCTAAACTTGTTYGAGGGATATTTTTTACTACTAGTTGTAAATAAAATTCTCTACTGACTTACCTAGGTTTGTTGAAACAAAGGAATTTGCAACAGCCTTGTTGGATATGTTATCTATAAAAACATCAATATTGACTAATTTGGGGAATGAAGCAAAAAAAAAAAAAAAAAAAAAGATTAGCCCTGTATTACTTGACAGAGCAAAACAGTAAAAATGATATAATGCTTACATTGCATGTAATCACTAGGTACAGTCTTGTGCAATGATATTGAGGCAAATGTCCAGCTCTTTCCTATGGAATCATTCTTATAAATGCCATTCAGAGAAACAAAATATGGGCTGGAAAAGGAGTATTTCTGACTTGATGTGGGCTTGACAAATTCTCAGTACCCTGAACTAATACAGCCACCTTAATCYTAGTGTCTGGCTGCTAAAAACATGTCTCTGTCAAACCTGAATATCCTCTCTTCTGTTGATGGATGACATACTCAGCAGTGATTAGAGCTTTATGGTCCCCTCATAGTTTGYGCTACAGAAAATCTGTTAGCAGAGTTTCCTGAGTAACACTGTTCRTTCATGTAGCACTCAACTCCTGTAAAGTGTGTCAGAGAGACAGGCAAGGAATGTGAAAGAAGCCTTGGTAGAGGTGCAGTATTGTGAGATTGTGATATGTAGTTTTCATTTCCCTCTCTGTTTGACCTGAAACCTGTTGTCACACACACACCAGTTTCCCAGGTCCGGTACAATAAATAGACACTATGCTGTGAATAACGCACTCAACTGCTAAAAAAAATCAGGTTTTGGAAAAAGACATGTTTAATAAAGAAGTAAGTTCGCTAGAAACTTAGGATAGACACATTTATTGTCTCTATTTCCAGGTTTTGGGRGGGTTTGCAGCCTTTAGTTGGAAAGATCATGACAGCCTATTTGCACTGTAGGAGCAGGTGTCCTAGACTCCTGTCACTGATCCCCAAGCAAAGAAAGTGTAGTGACAGCCTGGGGTGGGTGCACATACCCTCTCTGAGGCTAACAAGCCCTGAAAGTGGCAAAAGGCCTGGAATAAAGCCTTGCACAATGCTAACATGTTCAGAAGACCATCATTTGGTATTTTAAACTTTAAAACCCTTCTGGAGTCCAAAATTTTTGAAATATCTTTTAAATCAAAGAAGTAAGATTTAATCTTTTATCCTTCCCCATTTTTTCTTCTCCTTGTAAAACCACTTATTTCTTTTTTTTTTTTTTTTTTTTTTTTTTTTTTTTTTTTTTTTTTTTTTTTTTTTTTTTTTGTAACTGGAATTGACCTGTAATCACTTTTGAGGAGACCTAGGGAGTTTCATTAAAAACAAAACAAGGTTGGTATCTAACACCATATTTCTTTGTCGTGATCTCATGCATTTTTATGTGGCTGAAAGAAGGAGTTTCTAAATGAAGAGTCAAATCCAGGTTCCAGTGAAATCAGGATATRATCCACACTTGTGACAATGGAATCAAGATTTTCATCAAGTCTGTTCACTCTGCCAAGAGCAGGAAAACTCTTCAGCTAAACCATGTTAAAACCAGAATTTTAATGGCCCACTGCAAGAAACTCTCTGGCAAATGTGGAGATTTTGCTTCTAGTTGCAGAAACGTGTAGCTTAGATCTATGCTAAGGCCTGGAAGACATTTGGAAGACATTTATTGTCCGAGATGAAGTCCTGAAACCTTCAGAAACATTAGATTGCTTTTAAACTCTGCGCTATTTTTACAATAATTTACTTCACTGGGGTTGATCCCAGCAGGACAGTGAAATGCCAAAGGCCCAGACGGGATCTCTCAGGACCAAAGCAGCGCCTCTTACCGAGTCACTTTGCCTGGGCCAGAAGTCAGATCGGGGTGTACAGGCTGTTGCTGACAGATCTGCATTTGCTCTGCGTGATTACAGCAATTTTATTCTCAATTATAAGCGCTGCTTTACTGAGGGAGCTCTCTGGGGGCACCGTTCCGGCCCGAGCAGCCCTTCCCGCTCCCCAACCCCGGGGCTCGGGGGGCCGGGAAGGGCTGTCGGTGCCCGCTCCCTCGGCGCGGCGCTTTCTGGGCGGAGCAGCCCCAGTCCCGTGGCTGGGTGAGCGGGCGGCGGCGGCTGCCGGGGAAGGAGGGGGCTGGCGTCAGGCGCTGGGCAGCCACTGGCGGGGGAGCTCGCCCTCGCCTCGCCTCCCCTCCCGTGGCCGGGGACATAAAGGCACCTGGCCCGGTGCTGCGAGCCGGCGGAGCGGGGAGGCGGCGGGCGAGCGGACGGGGGCCGGGCCGGGCCCCCTGCGCAGCCCCTCCATGCGCCTCGCCGGTGGCGCCGGCTCGCCCCGGGCTGTGCCCTCGCCCGGGAACGGCAGCCGGTGGCAGGCGGCGGAGCCCGGCGGCGGCAGCAGTCCCAGTCCCGAGGCGTGGTCGGGGTCGCCCAACAACAGCCTGGGGGGCTGGGACCCCTTCGGGCGGGACGAGGAGCTGGCGAAGCTGGAGATCGCGGTGCTGGCCGTCACCTTCGCGGTGGCGGTGGTGGGCAACGGCAGCGTGCTGCTGGCCCTGCGGCGCACCCCGCGCAAGGCGTCCCGCATGCACCTCTTCATCCGCCACCTCAGCCTGGCCGACCTGGTGGTGGCCTTCTTCCAGGTGCTGCCCCAGCTCTGCTGGGAGGTGACCCACCGCTTCCACGGCCCCGACGGGCTCTGCCGCGTCGTCAAGCACCTGCAGGTCTTCGGCATGTTCGCCTCGGCGTACATGCTGGTGGCCATGACCGCCGACCGCTACATCGCCGTCTGCCACCCGCTGAAGACGCTGCAGCAGCCCACCAAGCGCTCGTACGGGATGATCGCGGCGGCCTGGGCGCTCAGCCTGCTGCTCAGCACTCCTCAGTACTTCATCTTCTCCCTCAGCGAAGTGGAGCGCGGCTCGCAGGTCTACGACTGCTGGGCGCACTTCATAATGCCCTGGGGTCCCCGCGCCTACATCACTTGGATCACCGGCGGCATCTTCATCGCGCCTGTCCTCATCCTCGTCATCTGCTACGGCTTCATCTGCTACCACATCTGGCGCAACGCCCGGGGCAAGACGCGCCCAGGGGAGGCGGCAGCGGCGGGTAGCGGGCGCCGAGCGGCTGATGGTGGCCCGCGACGGGGGCTGCTGCTCGCCCCCTGTGTCAGCAGCGTCAAAACCATCTCCCGCGCCAAGATCCGCACCGTCAAGATGACCTTCGTCATCGTCTCGGTGTACGTCGTTTGCTGGGCGCCCTTCTTCACCATCCAGATGTGGTCCGTCTGGGACCAGCGCTTCCCCTGGGTCGGTAGGTGACGCCGCCGCTCGCTCCAGCGGCCACCCCGCACGCGTTGGGCTCCAGCGGGAGCGCAGCCGGCTGTCCCGGGGCGCAGTGCAGCCCTGAGCCGAGCGCGGGGGACACGGGGCGCGGAAGCGGAGAGCGGCACCGAGGCGCGCCCCCCCGGCCCCGGACGGGTCCCTCTCCCGCCGGGGAATAGCGGCTGAGGGCCCTTGTGCGGGGAGGTGAGACAGCCCTGGGCCGCCCCGCCGGCGCCGCTCGCAGTCCCGGAGCGGGTGGCACCGGCAGCGGCGGCGGCGCTCGGCTCGGCCTGTCCCGGGAGCAGCCGGAGCGGCGGCTGGGGACAGCTGCGCCTCCCCAGAGGAGCAGCCGCCGCCGCCTTCTCATSCCGAGCAAAACGAGCGGATGGAAACCGCAATATTAGCTGCCCTAATATGAACCAGCAACATTTTCGTCCATTTGATGCTGCCAGTAAARAAACTTTAAAAATGTTTAGTGTTGTTGTGAAGCATACACTCATACATGTCGGAGCAATTACATGAGCAGAGAACTTAGTATGTCTTTTTTCCTGTATCTGCTGCTTAATAATAGGGTTGAGCACACCTTGAACCCTGCATCTCAGTAAGGCAGCCACCTCTGAGTAACTCCCTTAGTCAAGTCACCGGTTTTCATGAATCAGTGGCAATTTAGATTTTGGAGATATCTATCCTGCTGTTAAATATRGCTGAAAATAATTGGTGAGTTTAAAAGCTATGACATCGGTAAYGACAGCATAGTAACATATACCCCGTTTCCTCATAATGTGAAAGCAGCAAATCATAATGTTGGAATCCATAATTTCTTATTTTTTTTTTTGGTATCCCCAAATTATCATTTACTGTAGTGAGAGTACTGATTGCCTGTAATATGAGACCAAAGTAAAGCCTGTGATGCAGGTCTCTATTTAGAAATAAGGGCTTGCAGTAAACAAATAGATTGATTTTTTTTTACTTCAAAGGAAATGAAATCTAATTGAACAGTGGATATTTGATAGGTGTATTTAAGGAGATTATTTAAATCTATGAAACTACATAATAGTAATTATACTTCTTTGAAGATTCAACATGTACAAAGAAACATCACTAATAATTGATTAGACTAGATATATATTTAGAGTGTTTGATCTAACTATTAACCAGTTATTGAAGGTAGAACACCATACCTTTTTCATGCCTAATGTCTAACTTCCATTTTTGCCTTAAGTAAAATTTGTTCAACCTGCAAAATCCAGATTTGATGGACAATCCAGTAGTTGGTTGAGCATTCAACACTTTTCAGCATGCAAATACATACAGCAAAATTCAGTGTTGCTGAAAGTCTCCCAGGGTCTGGATAAAAACTTTCCAGTGTTTAAAGCATGAGCTTATCAACACATGGATACACATCAGTGGAAATGTGACTAAATCATTATTTTGGATGGATTACCCCATAACTTATTCTGTCACAGCTTTTTGAAGTCTGTTCAGACAAGTTCCCATTGACTTCAATGGCAGCCTTACATAAATAAGAACTTTACTGATTATGTTCTCGTTATTAATTTCAAATGCTGCAGCTCAACTTTTAGAACTAGAATATTCAAGAAAATAAATCCAGTGGTTAATGAAGCAACTGACTGAATGGTGCAAATGTTCTTTTGATGATTAAACAGCTTTCTTCCCCCTCTCCAGATTCTGAAAACACTGCGACTACTGTCACGGCTCTGCTGGCCAGCCTGAACAGTTGCTGTAACCCGTGGATCTACATGTTCTTCAGTGGGCACCTCCTCCAAGACTGCATACAGAGCTTCCCTTGCTGCCAAAAAATAAAGCAAACACTGAGTAAAGAAGATTCAAACAGCAATAGCAGGCGACAGACTTCTTTCACCAACAACAGGAGCCCAACCCACAGCCTGAGCACCTGGAGAGAGATGCCCCACTCCAAATCAACCAGCTTCATCCCCATTCCAACATGAGACAGGCCTCGGGCAGGCAGGGCTTGCAGTCCCATCACAGTGTTTGGGAAGGTTATGGCATGGCACTTTATGCCAGTCCAGGGCACCATCATGGTACCAAGGAACGACTAAGAGGGCCATAAGACAAAAAGTGCCACCTTGCTTGATAGGCTATGCTGCAGCATGTAAATTATTTTCTGAAAGTTATTTCGAACTTGTCCAACTGATCAGGAAGGTGTGGCAAAAATAAAGCAATTATTTTTTTTAAATAGAGGTTATTTGAATTTTTTGTCTGTTTCTGAAATACTAAGTGCATTGTTTGCTTGCTGTTTAAAGCAGTAAAAGTAACGGAGTTGCCATGTGTTGGGGTAACTCTACTCTCTAGTGTTAATGCCTAAAACTTCTCATGATTGTTCAATGAAGTCACAGGGAAAGAAGACAATATGAGCAAGATTACAGTTTAGTCTTAGACATTAAAGGAAAGGAGCTTGAAAAAAGTCTTGGCTGTCTGGATAAGGAATGTGATTAGACAGACTCTGAGTTGTTCGAATTCAGTTGCTCATGCTGCTTCATCTTCTAAAGGTCTAGCGGTTCTCAGACACTGAAATTTAACACCCCTTGTAGAGGCAAATGTTTTAGTGCTGTCAATGTCTGTATGTGTATTGTGGAGTTTCATTTTTCGAGTGACATTTCCTGTTTCCTTTACGTTGATGGAAATTATACAGCATATTTGTGTGTGTTTGTCTGTGTGTGTCTGTGTGTTTGTTGTTGCACCTACTTTCATTTTTTTAAACAAATTAAAAAAATATAGTCATAAATAAGTATGATATGCTATGACTAGCTCAGCACAGTTACAAACAGATGCACCAAGAAAACTCATAATGAATACCAGAACCACTTGCTTTATGGGTAGGAATGCCATCTTTCCTTTTTTTAATTCCGTCAGACATCTAGATCAAACTACATTTGGTTGTCAAGCAAATAACCTCATGAATTCGGGAGAGTTTAGTCATTTTGTAAGAGCTATAGAACCAGTATATTCCAAGACACRGATCTGAAAATCAAACTTACAAGTGTTCTGGGAACATATAAAAATTGTCAATGTTGTTCGTTTGCCTTTTTAAAAAAAATTATTTTTATTGCCAGATCATGRCAATGTAGTCTTAAAAATTGTCAGTAAACTGCAATAAAAAGTCATCACAACACATTTGCTAATTACAAAGCATTCAAGGTGTGCTTGTTTTCAATACAATGCATGCCAAGTTGACTGTAGTTCATTTATATGGTGAATTATCCTATTACATCTTTCCTTGGAGCCTGTCTTTTATCTTCAGGTTGGGTTGTGAAGTGCCTTGAGTAAGTTTTGCTGAGTTTTTGAGTCTTGAGAATCAATTTGACAAGTACAGCTACCAGTCTGCTCTGTTTTCCTGAGCTTTTTGGAACCTGAAATTCAGGTGTTCCCCTGGCAGCCTGCAGACCTGCTGATACTGGAGCAGTGGGACACATGCGGGGCTGCACAGCACCCATGCCAGGAGGAAACTCAGCAGCAGGTTTTTTTCTTACCCATCAAAACCTAACAGACAAGATTGCTTTTCTAATTGCTTGAGGAGATTGCATGTGGCTTTCACTGAGGATGGATCCCATGCCTGCCCTTTTAATGGTAGCAAAAATTGAAAGTTTGATGCAGAATAAGATCATATTAAGCCACTCCAGAAGCTTCCCCATTGAACTTTTTGGGCAAAGAGTAGGGAATATTATACCTAAATGAAATTTTTGTTTAAATAGATTTTTTTTTGTCACTAAAGAAAATCTTGGCTCTTCTGTCTACTTTCCTTGTATTTGCAGTTGTTCAAAGCACTGGAACCCAGAGGATAGCGTGGTGGGATGGCTTATATTTTACAGACTATCTTTTTTACCATGGTTAATATACAGCTCTCACCAGCTCTGGACGAAGGTTTGTGAACCTGAAGTAATATTTTAGTAAAAAAAAAATGCATGCAGTGGTGTTACGTGTGTGTTTGTGCACATTATATGTACTGTGTATATTTTGCAAGTAAGTAATTCACAGTTACTGAAATTGCAAGTATTTCAAATTAGGTAAACTACGCTTTTGCCTAGTTTTCTGTTTGTGCTACTACTTTCTTTGTACATGAAATCTACATTAAAAAGCAATTACCTGTATTAACAGAATTTTCATGTTTGCATAATTGAATTGTTTTTCTATTACACATTGCATTCAAACAGAAAAGATAATAAAAAACGTGTGTAGAATAATGTTGATAATAAAAATGAGCTGGGTAATGACCAATATATGTATTAAAGCAATCAGACATAAAATTGTAAATTTAGGGTTTTTTKGAATATGTTACAAAATCTAGGCTTACATTTGGAGCTTGTCAGCATGAATTCTCCCTGTGAGTGTTCTACAGTTTCTCTAATTAAACTGAAAACACAATTTTCAGTATTTGGTTTCCAGACATTTTTTGTAAATACTGAATTTTTTACGTAATTGTAATGTTRGAAGATACAGCCAATATATTTTAATTGTTCATCTGTGGAGATATTTTTTTAAAAGCTGCTTTGGGTTATCATGAGGATACTGTAATGGACACAGAAGAAAACAAAAAATTGTTAAACCATTGCAAGTTTAAAACATGGAAACATGCTCTAATAAACCTGCATATTTGTCTGATCTGAAGCATCTTGGGTTTTTTGCTTGTCTAGATTTTGGAGAGCCAGAAATGTATTTGGTAATACCAAATATTTTACAAAATTCAGAATGTCTTCATTCATTTTAATAAGTTGTTTCTATGAAGTTGTTTCATTCTTTAAGGAATGAACAAAACTAAAATATCTTTCTGTCATACACAGTGCATGAAGGACACAAGTGAAGAAGGAAGGTGCAGTTAGCTTTCCACTATATGCTGCTAGTATTGTTGAAAAATGTAACTTAGCACTTACTCATGTTCTAGATGGGTTATTTTGATATTTTTGTTTTAAACACTTCTTATGTAAATTATGATTGAATGGATGAGCCTCTATTCTGTTATTTGTACTAGTGTTACTAGAATTCAAGCATTTTAAAGTCAATTTGATGGCAGAAGTGGAGATGATACAGAAGATGGAAAGGATTTTGTTCTTTTACAAAGGAAATACAAGTTACCAAAAAGCTTCTTTTCATTAATTTCTTTCTAAATTYGCAGGCAAACATATTGTTGGCTCAGGAAAAGAACAAGCAAACAAAAAAGGTTGGTTTGGKTTTTTTCCTCTGTATTACCACATCAAGACCAAACTCCACAAGAAAATACAAATTCATGTGTGCCCAATACTGCAAAGACAGAAGTTTTGTCTGCAGAAAATCTTATGGCCAGTTCCAAATTGCCCAGATCGAAGGACCTTCCTTGCGTGCATGAATGCTCCTTTCCAACTCATGCCTATGGAGACCAGGGCAGAAGAGGGAAAGGGTCTGCAGAGCTGGATGTTGTCCTAGGGCAGATACAGGTGACCCAGCTTTGGGAACTRAGCCCAGACTTTACAGTAGAGCTACTGCTGAAATACATTTACTTGTTACATTAAAAAAACCTCTTACAGAGTTCTCCCAGAGTGACTTCCTCAGCTACAACAAGGACTAATTAAATACAATGTCCTCCTCAAAAAAAGTGTCAGCACAAGTTTCAGTTGTACGGTCCCTTCTGTACATGAAGGGCTGGGGAGACAGAAAGGAATTAGTGTGCTAAACACTAGCGGGAGCTGTAGTTTCTCTTACAAGGCTAGTTTTCTTTGTTTTCTTTAGGAATGGGCTTTACTGGAAAATTTATCCCTTGCTGCTTGGGTGAAGAAATTAGAGTATGTATAAATGGGCAAGTTTCAAGGTCCAGGACTGGATCACAGCTGCTCCACAGGGAGCAGTCCTGATTGGTTCAGGTAACAGTCACTCACACAAGAGTAGGTCCAGCTCATCTTTTAAAAGACAGGGAACTGCCAAAAGTAATRTAAATCATGCAGAATGGTTCGTGCAGCTAAGCAAAAAGCAAGAAAACAGCAATCACAACCTGTCCCTGCTGAGCTTTGTCAGAGCCAGCCAGCACAGGTCTGCCCCTCCCAAGACTGGTCCTGCAGTAAGCTCCGGATCCATTCGGTATTAATTAGCACTGTATCACTGCTTTGCTACTGATCAGTAATTTGCCATGTCTCAGTATAAACTTGCTTAGAGTAACAGTTTACATGTAAATTAGCCTTAGTTCTCCATAAGAACATTTGCAGCTGAATTCTTGACACAGTCCTTTGGGTTACCTATTTTCTGAAAAGCAAGGCTGTGAGGCATCATCAGGAGTGCAAAGCTCTGTTTTCAGTTCTATGGTGACAAGACTGGCAAGTCTCTCTAGGTCTAGGTGGACCAAGATGTTGTTGGATAAGGGTGAACTTTCTTCCAATAAGAGAAGAACCTTTTGCCCAATCCCAGTATTTTTGTCATTTCCAACATTTGTTTTTTCAGAGGGGTGGATGGAAGAGCGCTCTGCAAGCAAAAGATGYGTGAGTTATCCAACCTCAGTTCAGGATAATGATGATTATCTTTCTCCATAAATTCTTACAGGACACATGGCTAAGAAGTACTATGTATAAGTTCAATATTCCTTTTCAAAYAAAGCACTGGCAATGCAGTCTGTAGATGTCCCATCAGTTTTTACACCTTTGTAGCAAAAGATGACAAAATTGGGTCTCTAGTGCATAAAGCCCCTTCTGGAAGATGTGGAATAGGTAACCAAAGACTGAAAGTAGGCAGTACTGCCCATCCTCTTCCACTATTGCTGCTGTGATTGCCCCTGCCATAGTCTCTCCTGCCCCTGGTAACAATGGCTGCAGCAGGAATGGGGACAGGGACCACAGGGGCAGCAGCAGACAGGGTTGTCATTAAAGCACATTAATTTAAAATTCCTTTTGGAGGGAGGAATGTGGATCTTATCAAATAAAAATCGCATAGTGAATATTGGGAGAGAGATGAAATGGTGAGTCAGARAGCAAATAAAACATCTGATCTCAAAGGTTATTTAAAAGTATCAAAATGCTTTTCATTTTGCAATTTTTAGATACGTTTTATGTATTTAGAAAGAGTTCTTTTCTCCTGGAGCTGTTAACTAATGAAGCTCCTTACAAATCTACTAAGTATCTCTGCTGAGATGGTTACAAGGCTATGTCTAAAAAAAGGACAATGATCTCTCCAAGCTAAGCATTCAGCATGTGACTTGTAAGCCCTTGGCCACCCCAAAACAAACGTGTCCTGTGGGAAATATGAACACACACAGTTTTCAGGGAGGAGAAAGGAAGGAGCCTAAATATCGTTCCCCTTTTTGGAAAGAGGCGATAGGCTAAATATCATARCAGATGACAAAATCTTCAAGCTAGAAGGCAATGGTCTTCCTAATATTTTAGAAAGCTTTTGGTTGAAAATTATGTGGAAGAGAGAAGCAGTAGATGAAGAACCCAGAGGATTAGGAGGCATGTAACTTCATAGCATTATTATCAAAGGGAGAAACTTGCTTAGGTGCTGCTCAAAGGTTTTTCTGAAGAAGTGTACAAAATAAAACAAAAAGTAGGATAGCAAATACTATGTCCTGGCTCACTGTAAAGTAGGCAGTTATGCAGAGTAAGAAATCTTCAGACTGAGTAGGCACAGACTGATGCACCCTCTGAAATACCGTAGGTGTCATTCACCTCAGAGCAAACCACGGATAACAATTCACTTTACTTTTGGCTGAGATATGAAAAAAAAAGGGAAATCAAATCATCAGACTAATTTGCTACACAATTAATCTGAATAATCCTCTTCCAGAGAAGAAGCAAACATTATTAAATAGCCACGGTTATATTTTCTAAAGGTGAGACATGTCAGTGTTTCCATGGGAGCAAAGGAGGGACTTGCAAGTGTTATATGCAGACACAGAGATAAGAACTGAGGTCAGTAAGACACTCGGGCATTCTGTGTAGATTTCAGTCATTATGTAGGTCCCATTATCTCCAATACTTCAAACATTGTGAGGGCAGTCAAGGCAACAAGGAATTATACGCAGTAAATAATCAATAAAAGCAAAAGATACATTTGTATGACTATATATAATCTCGGTTCTCAAACCAAATTGTACTCATCCTTTTCAACAGAAAAGAGCAGGGATTTAGTTACATGTCTCTGATAACCTAGTTCACCATGCAGCTGATGATCAGTGGCTCAAGAATCTTAAGTTCTGGTATAGAGTTACAAATGTTCCTTATTAAAGGTTCAGGTTTAGAGCTTATCAGTTAATAACATGTTATTAAATTGAATAGAATACGGGAAATGAGGAGAGAGTTTGTGTTGTTTTGTTGTTTGTTTGTGGACTGGGTTTTGTTTCATCTATTATGGCAGTTTCCCTGAAGAACTATATTTTAAATGTGCTGAGATGAGATGATCTGAAGCACCATGAAGAATCCCAGCTTGAATCTCTCTTTCAATCTAGATATATCATTAGCGCTTGCTCTTCTGTCCCACACAATTACAGCATATGGCATAGTGTAAACAACAAAATCTCATTTCTTTGCAAATTTATGACCCAAGTGCCTCGATGTAGACATTTTAAGCTGGAGGACACAAAGGTGGAATTCATCTGCATGAACGTACCTACAGTGCATGTGTGTCCATCCAAGCAAGAATGATTATTTTTGTGGCCAAAGCAAAACTAGTTTCTGGAAAACAGAGTCACCATATGGAGGATATCAAGAACACTGCCCTTATCTCCATTGATATATGGWCTGGAAAACTATTTATTCATTGTTTTTAATGGCAAGTAGATAGCTAGCTCAAATTGGTACATATGTACTGCAGATAGCTGGCTGTAAGTACTGCGGGTTTTACTGAAAGATCTCAGTAGACACCTCCACATTTACAGTTCAGGATTTTACTGTCTTTAAAGGCAACTAGAAAATATTAGCACCTAATAGCATCATATTGCTTTGGATGGAGCTGATGATACTATCCCAACRGCTAACCAAGGGGTCTCCTGTTGCCAGGGTTCTGCTAGCTGGATGCCTTTGTTAGTTATGTCACAAAAAAGACCAAAACCAAATGAGCCTAGAGATCAATTTACCTTCTCACACCAAGATGACATCTCTGGCTTTACAAAGAGGGAAMAATCTCTGCATCTAATCTCTCTGTGTGTCCCATCTGTGCATGCTGAGCCTTTTCAATTTTGTCCTCAAAGGTAGATCTGTGAAAATCCTCAATTAGGCAGAACTCCYGAGATACTCAGATAATACAATCCTAAGGTCAATGTACAATATCGAAAGATAGAGCTCATTACACAAGGAGTTAGGATGGGGAAAAAAATCAGGATAATATCTAAAATTCTTGGCAATATTGTGTGGAGTGAAAAGGAATAATAAGGAAAATGAGAGTGGAGTGCTAGGTATGTCTGTGCGTGAARTCCTGCTTTCCTAAGCAAGTACACAGTTATAAAAACTTGGAGAATATAATCAGTGTAAAATAATTTACATTAGATGTCATCAATGAYTGTTTTCTGCATGAGCAGAAAAAAGGATGCAGTGATTCTGGTCATATTTCCTTCTCAAGTGTTTAAATGGAAAGTTAAAGTGATGTAATGGTTTAATGGAAAATCCCCAGATTTGACCTCTGATGACAAATGT